AAAACGCTACGAATTAATTCCAACACCTAATATATGTATTTAATATTTTTATTATTTCGTTAAAAAACCCAACAAGATGCTTAAGTTGTAAATGTTACGAGAAATTTTTATCTAAATGTATATAATTAATCAATTTTATCAATTTAAAACCTGAAATTGCAAGTTATTTATTTTAAATAAATATGTTAAGCTTGGATTCTTTCTCTTTAAAATAACAAAGTAATAATTCAAGGCTATATAATTCAAGTATATAATTCAAGACTATTGGAAGTCAGCGCAACCGTTGTAAAAAATATGAAAAAATTACTTCATAAATGTTCTGAAGTCTATTTTATTTAAAATTCTTGAACGTTTCAACTCACTTTGAAGTCCTCTTCAGCATTCATAAATATCCTAAATTGGTTAAGTAGTCTGCCGAGGATAAGTTCAAATTGTCCGTTAATTTGAAATTGCTCGTTAGATATATTCGATATTCGAGATGGTTTAGTCAGAGAAACATCATATCTGTATAAAATGGCACATTAACAATTCTATTGAATACAGTATTGTAGTTAAGAAATTCCAAAGCTCTATGACAAGGTTGAAATTTATTGAGAAGCCACTGCAGTTTTGTGAGTGACTCCGTTTTCTTTCGCGTTGATTCTTAGTAGCCTTGAATTAATTACCTTGTTATTTTATTTATTTTATTTCTTTACTTGTATAAAAGGATCGAATATAAGAAATTCTAAAAGATCTTAAAATTATTGAAGAATCTATTACAGTAGGTTTATCTTAATTGCATTTCATAAAAATAAGAATTCCCTTATTTTTTTTATAGGCAATAATTTGATATAAATTTTTTTTCAGATGGGAAATCACGATAATCCCCGAATTGCCTCTCGTTATCCTAACAAATCGGATCAAATGATTATGTTGTCTATGGTTTTGCCAGGCTTGATAATAACATATAACGGTGAAGAAATTGGCATGGTAGACAAGAGAGATATATCTTGGCAAGATACACAGGACCCTCAAGGGTGTATTGCGGGTAAAGAGAAATTTAAGAGTACATCCCGTGATCCTGAACGCACACCATTCCAATGGGACGCGACAAAAAATGCAGGTAAAGGATAAATTTGTGTCCATCACAGTGTATTTAGTAAAACGAATAACATATTTTCCAAAATCCGATTATTTAATTATTTATCTTTATAGGTTTTAGTACAGCAAATTCGACGTGGCTTCCGGTACATCAGAACTATAAGAAATTGAACCTGGCGAACCAGATAGCAGCTGATAAATCACACTACCAGATTTATAAGACCTTAGCCCATATGCACCGAACAGAACCAGCTCTTACTGAAGGAAGTTATAAATCAATTACGACAAATAATAACACTGTTCTAGGTATAATCCGAAACAATGGTAGCCGCATCGTGTTGCTTCTGATTAACTTTAGTGATGATGAACAAGTTATCGATTTGTCACAAGAAAACTTCCTTCGAAATTGAAAGTTAAAGTCTCCAGTATGGGTTCCAAAGTGACACATGGGTACAGTTTACACATTTTCTAAAAAAAAATAATATAAATAAAAAAAATATAAATAGTTAATTAATGGCAAAAATAAATGATTTTTGTTTTTTAATTAATTGTTCGTACAAAAATTGTTCAGATAGAATTACTACTGCTATAAAAAATATATTTCTTCAAATAATATTTTGGCAAGAAATTATTTATAGATTTTTTAAAGAAATTATTTTTACAAATATATTATGTTATAATGTTGAAAGAAAATATGTTCTATTAATTAGTAATAATTGATTTCTGTTCTTCTATTTATAGGAAATTGGTTGATGTAAAGAAGATATCTCTACCTGCTCAAGCTACTGTAATATACACGACCATATATGAATACGTAACTTTCTAACTATACCTATTGTATGTTCTAGAAAATTAACTGCACTTGTGTAACTTTTCTTGCAATAAAAAAGACATAACAGAAATCCTTGTAAAAAAAATTAATTATATACTTTTGTCACATTTGTGTACCTACAATTGGAATTTTTGTCTAATTTGAAATTTTGTTCGCATGAATATTCTGTTTCATTGATTTATTATTTCAAATTATGTAAGTCTAAATAAAAAATTCTAATTTTAGCATATGAGTCCATGAAAAGGAACTCAATTATGTTACTAATTATAGGTGACAGATCAAAGGCGTGCATGATTCAATAGATTTACATCTACTATAAATAGCGGATTGTAGGCTCGAGTAGCGGATGTTCATGATTTTATAACGTCATGAATTTATTTAATATGGATTTTGACGAGAAACTTTTATTAGTATTGATATTTATTGAATCACTGCGTATTTATTGCATGGTTATTTTGCCACATCACTTATAATTAGTAGTGAAATTGAATCGTCCATGAATCATAATTGAAAAGTCATTTTCAGTCTTCTTTTAAATCTTCACTTTTATCAACATTTATTCCGTTTTAATAAAACTGCAAAAGTGGTAAAAAGTATATATTTCAGATATATTAATCATCTTATGATTTCCACTGCTCTATCCATGTTTTATCATACATATGTATGAACTGAAACAAGGATAACTCGGAATTAAGTTCATCTCTTTCTATATCATATCGATCAGCAATCTAGTAACAGAAGTTTATTTGTTACTATTAATACGAACACCGTATTAAACAGAACTTTAGAATTATGTAATTTGTGCGCTTTGAAATTTCTGATAGATGCTTGCTGTCGGAGTATCTACATAAGAATGATATTTTTGAAGTAATTTCGGAAGCAGTGCAAAGTGAAAATTAATAAATTTTTTAGAAGCCATCATGGTTACTGCGTATGAAATTTTTTCATTGTGATAATTGCTGTGATGAATGGCTTATGTTTCTTTGAAAAATTCCATGTAGTAAAATAATATGTACCATTATGTTCAACATAATTTGTTTTTATTTTATGATGGCTAACTCAAATACACACACACGCACGCACGCACGCACGCACGCACACATTGTCATAACATATAGGTATTAACATAAAGATATTTTTATTTAATATAAATGAATAAATTATTAATGTTAGAATGTTTTCCAATTCTCAATATTTAAAAGTATGAATATTTAAAAGTATCAGGCATAAGAGAGAATAGCTTCGCAGTTTTTGGCGTATAAACTGTTTTACAAACATATTTATATATTTCTTGTAATGTTTACATAGAATTCGAACATTTTATTTCGAGTCTTCATCAGTGATGTACAAACTATTATTCAGTGGTCAAACAGCATTAGATTCCATTAATGTGTGCAACAGGTGCCTTTTAAGTTACCATGTTTAAGATTGTAATCATCAATCTATTTTTAATTGAGCCCGCTGCAGACATAAATGTGATTATAAATTGTGTAAAGATCGAAGAAATTGGTTTTTTCCTTTCTAACAATTATCTTTTACCATGTCTAAATATACAGGGTGTCTGGCGAGATTTCTGCCAAATTTTTGTTATTTTTGTAGATAGAGTGGACTAAAGTGAGTCAAAAAGTTCTCTACCATTTTGCAATTTTCGCAATGGTTAACGAGATATTAATTATTGAATATTAATTACCGATAAAAATTGCCGAATGTTGGTCTTCAATAATTTTTTAATAAAATGCTATCAACTTTACAGAAAAATAGCAAGGGATAAAAATTGCTTATTTTCTTTTCGTAAAGTTCTGAAAATTTTTTCAGAATTTTTTAATACCATATTTTTTCATGTTGGTAAAAATAGTTGTAAATAAGAAAATGCAAACTAAAAAGTTGATAAAAAATTCTGAAAAAATTTTTAGAGTTCTATAAGAAGAAAATAAACAATTTTTGTCTCTTGCTATTTTTGTGTAAAGTTATGATAATAAATAAGTTATTAAACGGCATGAATCGCGACCAGGGACTTAGCCGGATTAATGTAACTGTATCAAATACATTTTAGATGTTGGTTCAATGCCTTTGGTATATAATCCGTTACCGCTGTTACCGCAGGGAAGTGCCTTGGACGCAGAGAAATTGGATAAGACTAGTGGTATATGGTCATAATAGCAAACTTTGGATAGCACTCAGGAAATCTCTCTTATGAAGTTAGACCTATAGAATTTTTGATTCTTTTTTGATACTTTAAAATTTTAAGCATGTCTCAAAGATATTCATCCGAGGTCCAAATTCCCCTATAAAACTGGAGGAAGGGGAGGCATAATCTTTTCTTTGAAAATACAATATCTTATGTTTCTTTGAAAGTACAACATTTTATTTTCGGAGAAATTTTTATTAATCCAAAGAAATAATTTTTTGAATACGAGCAAAGAGGTATTTCGTTGAAATTAAGATTTTTTTTTCAGTGTATATATATTTATACGTATACGTATTATTATTTTTTATTTGAGCTGAAAAAATGAATCGCCATTGATTTAAATGTATAATCATTAATTAAACAATCTTTTAGAAAGATATTATCACGATAGAAAATCCATACACAATGTTATTATCATAGTAATTATCACGAGAGAAAATCCATACACAATGATCATAGAGTTTATTTTGTTAAGTTTCATTTTTCACTCCTTCGAAGTTAATGTATCATACATATAAATGATCAGTCAGTATATGTATGCCTAACATTTGAACATACGACGTCTTATGTTCTGACTTTAGATATGTTTAGCGATGTTTGGGTGATTCTCGGTTATGTAACGAACCATATGTCTGACACATTAATTTTTCAATTGTTCAAAGAAATACCAGTTTTTTGTCATGGAAATTATTATGATGAAAAAATTCCAGTTAGATAATTACAATGATAATGGACTTAATATTTTTTATTTATTTCTTTTTGAAATGCAACGTTGAGGCAGCGTAATTTTGTCAAACACTAATCAATAAGAAAGTGATCGATATAATTCTCTTCGCCATTGTTATATATCAGGGCTATGCACGATTTGCATTTTTCGTCCGATTTTCGACTCGTCTCCGCCTTCCGTTATCACATTGTCTAGCGCGCAATATAAATGACGCTCGACACTTAAGAGCGTCATTTATATTGCGTGTAATAACGCTCGTAAACATCCACCCGCTGTAAACTTCATTCTATCTTTTTTTTTCGCATTAACTAAGATAGAATAAATATCATAACTAAGATAGAATAAAGCAACGCATATAAAATTGAGTGCTTACACGTTGCTTCATTCTATTCATTCTATCTTAGATATGTAATGAGCGAAAAAAAAGATAGAATGAAGTTTACAGCGTAAGCACCCGAAGCGGATGGACCTCATGTCTATAAGTGTATTATACATTCATAAGTTAAGCGTTAAGCGTCATTTAGGCTGCGCGCGGGACGATAAGATGAGAAGAATAGAGGAAGGCGGAGCCGAGTCAAAAAACGGCCAAGAAGTACATTCGTGCTGAGCACTGTCATATATAAACAATTTTGAGATCGACAAACACAAACTGCATCATGTTGGTGATATGTTTTTTTGCTCCTTGCAAGTGGTTCTTTTGTTAAAATTCATAATAAGCCATGGTGGAACAATAGCGTTGTCTATCAGATTTATTCGAGAAGTTTCTGTGACTCAAATGCCGATGAAATAGGTGACTTAAAGGGTAAGCATATGCTAATTGTGTCACATGCTGTTACATCTTGTTTAATGAAGAATTTAATGACGAATTATTAAATTAATATATAAACAATTACAAATTCTATTGGATTAATTATTATACAATTTTATACAATTAATCTGAAAATGTTTGTTATCTGAAAATTGAAAGCTATTCAAGCAATACAACGACACTTAAATCTGCGTTTTTTGTATTGTCAGGGATAACTTCAAAGTTGGATTATATCGCGGAAACTGGCATCAATGCGATTTGGCTGTCGTCCATATATACAAGTTCTATGATTGATTTTGGATACGACAAATTCGATTTTGTTGACATCGATCCAATTTTTGGTTCATTGAAAGACTTTAAAGCTCTTCTGGCGCGCGCTAAAAAGCTCGGTCTAAAAGTGCGATGACTAATATCTTGCATATTTATAAATACAATTTTTTGTATTATAATAATATTAAGAATCTTTATTTTAGTCTGCATAGTGAGAAACACAATAAATACTAGAAATTTAAAATGCCTATTACGGTCGAAGCTGGATCTTCATTGCTTTAAAATAATTTAATCTTGAATTACTAATATATATGTACACTATATATGTACTTGCATATATATCATTGTAGTCTTTTCGAATTGCGCGCCGAATTGTTTTTCCGAACTATAAATGCTAAAAATAAGAAAAGAGTACAATATATATGCAAGTACATGTATAGTGTATATTAGTAATTCAAGATTGAATTACTAATATTAAGTGTAGTAAAAAGAAATCTATTATTTTTACTACACCTAATATATATACTATTTTAAAGCAATGAAGATCCAGCTTCGACCGTAATAGGCATTTTGAATTTCTAGTATTATAATTATACATTTAAATAAAAAATGTCAATAAGATTTTTTATTTCTGTTCCTTCTAAAAAAATTTTTATTGTTTTACTTTTTTTACTATTTTGGAGTCATTTTATAATATTTTTACAGGTAGTTCTCGATCTTGTGCCGAACCATACATCTGATAAGCATATATGGTTCCAAAAGGCTCTTCAAGGTCATAAAAAGTATAAGAATTATTATATATGGGCAGACGGCAGAAATAATGACGATAAAACGCCGCCTAACAATTGGATTAATGTATTTGGTGGATCCGCGTGGACTTATGTAAAATCACTAAATCAGTGGTATTTACATCAATTTCAGTATAGACAACCCGATTTAAATTTCCATAATCCTGCAGTAAGAATGGAAATGTTAGTAAGTATAAATAAGTTTAAATTATTTTTATGTTTGCGAGCGAAGATAATGGAATACCATTTATTTGGAATTATAATTATTCCAAGTGAATCTTTTCATTTGACATGGAGTCGGTTATGCAAGAGAGGATCACGATCCCCAGTAATGGGGCAATAACTTAATTGTTGATTGTTACTATATATTATATTTTTTTTGAAAGATACTTTTATAACTCAAATGTATTTTTTAGTTTTATTTATTTTACTGATAAAAAGTAATAAATTATGATTTACAATTTTAATAAACTGTAATGATAAATCTTACTGCATATATTAATAATTATTTTAAATACGAAGCGCCACTACGGTCTGAATGTTAAGATGTTGAACTATTAGCTTAACTAAAGATTTAGGACGCTTGCACGAAATGCAAGAGATCCGGGTTCGACTCCCGGCCGAGGCAATATTTTTCGCAATAAGTTTATTACAGTTTTTTAAGATTAAATTTGGGAAATTTCGGGGGATTATTAATACTTCAGATTGATTGCATTTGAAGTCCGACAATTGTATCGGCATGTAATTATAATTTCTGAAATTAATTCATTTAAATGAATAGTTCAACATCTTAATATTCAGACCGTAGTGGCGCTTCATATTTAAAGTAATGTATCTAACATAAACGGTCTTTTATTTCCACACAATCTTATTCTTGTATATTAATAATATAATTATTAAATAAATATATTAATATTTTATTAATATGAAACCTAAATAAAAAAACTTTAAAACTTTCAAAATTGTCAAATATTAAAGTGTATATAAACGAGAGCTAATGGGAATTAAAGCGCAATAATTTGAACGCTAATTAATTTGTGCAGAAACATTTCTTACTCAAATTATTTGTTTAATATAAAACTTAAATTAAATCTTTCAACTGCTGTTTGTGATTACTGCTTTTTTTTATTTTATAATATGGAAGTATAATGAAATAAATTAGTTCAATAAGTTACATAATTCATTATTATAAAAATTTATTGGTCTTAATTTTTTACATAGTATACCTTCAATTTTTTAATTTATTATTTGAATTATTTTATTTAACATTTATGACATATATTGTATGAAAAATGCATAAATGTAAAAATGAGTTTATATCTACAAATTAAAGTGTATACTATAATTAAAATGTAAATTCATGTAGATTTTAATTAGAAAAATATGTATAAAAAGATTAATAAAAAGAATCATAGCAGAATTATCACAAATTTCAAAAACATTTTTGTTTAATTACAGAAAGTTTTGAAATTTTGGTTGGATTTGGGTATAGATGGATTCTACGTCGATTCCTCTCCATTTATTTATGAAGACTCAGAATTGCGAGATGAACTTAGAAGTGATGTAGACGGGATGGTATGTGATGCAACGTCACAAGATTATAAGAGAGATTATTTGGAGCATAATTACACCATGAATTTAATCGATACTTATAAGCTGTTTAGAGAGTGGCGACATTTTATGGACTCTTATACTTTAAAACATAATCAGGATCAGAAGGTGAACAAATACGCGATATTTTTTTTTATTAAAACTATTTATTGTGTTTTATTCTTTGTGCATGTTTTCTTTCTAATTTAGTTGATGATGATGGAGGCGTATACCGATCCTAATCACACTATGCAATATTACGATTACGCCCTTCTTTCATTTAATTTCAAGTTTATTATAAATATTAATGCAAAATCGTCTGCGCAAGAATTTAAACAACAAATAGATCTGCGGATAAATTCGATGCCAAGAGGTAAAATCGCAAATTGGGCGGTACGTAGTTATATGAATAAAATTATCATTATCTTAATGAAGACATCATAAATTAATTTAATATTATACTATACATATATATTTAATATTTTTATTGTTTGTTACAAAAGCGAGATGCTGTTGTAAATTATTATGATATAATGGCGATGTGTGAATCTTGTCTTATTTGTAAAGCTAAATATATTACAATGTGTGCATTGCATTATATTTTAAAGAACTATAGTATTTAAATTAGTATTTATAGACAAATATTTTAAAGTCATTTTTTATTATGAATGAGAAAGAACCAGGAATACTGTCAGAGTTACAAAAAATTTTTATCTAAATGTAGTCGACCAATTTATCAGTTTAAAACCTGAATACAAAAAAGATCCAAATTGTTTATTTTATTTCTTTATAAATTAAAGAATCTATATACAATAATATAAGAAATTCTAAAAAAATCTTAAAATTGATGAATCTATTGATAAGAGTCGATTTATCTTCCGTTTCATAAAAATAAGAATTTCCTTATTATTTCTATAGGCAATAACATAATATAAATATTTTTTCAGATGGGAAATCACCCATCTGATAATCCCCGAGTTGCCTCTCGTTCTGATAGATCGGATCAAATGATCATGTTGTCTATGGTCTTGCCAGGCTTGGTGGTGACATATAACGGTGAAATTGGCATGGTGGACAAGAAAGATATATCTTGGGAAAACACGCAGGATTTTCAAATGCATATTGCGGGTAAAGAGCATTATAAGAATGCGTCCCGTGATTCTGAATGCACGCCATTCCAATGAGACGCGACGAAAAGTGCAGAGCAAATTTGTGTCTACCATAGTATTTAGTAAAAACAAATAAAATATTTTCTTAAAATCCTGTTATTTAATTATTTATCATTATAGGTTTCAGTGAAGCAAATTCGACGTGGCTTCCGGTAAATCAGAACTATAAGGAGTTGAATCGGACGAAACAGATGAAAGCTAAATCGCACTACAAGATTTACAAAATCTTAGTCCACATGCACCGAACAGAACCGGCCCTTACTGAAGGAAGTTATAAATCAATTACGACAAACAATGACACTGTTCTAGGTATAATCCGAACTAATGGTATCCGCGTCGTATTGCTTCTGATTAACTTCAGTGATGATAAACAAGTTGTTGATTTGTCACGAGAAAAACTTCCTTCGATATTAAAGGTCAAAGTCTCCAGTATGGGTTTTAAAGTGACACAGTGGGTACAGTTTACGCATTTTCTGAAATATAAATAGTTAATTAATAAAATAAATAATTTTTGTTTTTTAATTAGTTGTTTATATAGAAATTGCTCTTAGATAGAACTACTACTATTATAAAAAATATATTTTTTCAAATAATATTTTGGCAAGAAATTATTTATAGATTTTTTAAAGAAATTATTTATAAAAATATATTATGTTATAATGTTAAAAGAAAAAAAAAATATTTTTTTCATATAAATTAATTAGTTCTATATAAATTATTTTTATATAAATTCTATTATATATAAATTAATTAGTAATAATTCATGTCTGTTCTTTTGCATTTATAGGAATTTGGTTAATGTGAAGAAGATAGTTTTATCTGCTAAAGCTGCTGTAGTATGCATACATCCATACTAATGCTATAAAGCTACTATAGTATATACGTCCATATGAATACATAACTTTCTAACTATATTTATCTACTATATATTCTAGAAAAATTGTTAACTGCACTTGTAAATTGTAACTTTTCTTGCAATAAAAAGATATAACTTGAGCACAGCAATTCTTGTAAAAAGAATTAATTGTACACTTTTGTTATATTTGTGTATATAATTGGAATTTTTGTCTAATTTGAAACTCTGTTTGCATAACTATTGTGTTTTATTGATTTATTATTTCAAATTATGTAAGTATAAATAAAAAAATCTTGATTTTAGCATGTGAATCATGATACAAAAAAGACTCAATTATGCCACTAATTATAAGTGATGGATCAAAGACGTATATGATTTAATAAATTTGTATCTACTAAATAGCGCTAAATATCGAATAAAGGATGTTCATAACGTCACGAATTTATTTATAATATGGATTTTGATGAGAAACATTTTTATTAATATTTACTAAATCATATTTACTGAATATAAGTTATTTTGCCTCATCACTTACAATTAGCATGATTGAGTGTATCATAATTAAAAAATCATTCTAAATCAAATTCGTATTGCTTAATTATTTTGCATATTCGGCGTTACAATTTTTTCTAGTTAAATAAGAAAAAGTTTATTTATTATTTTATTCACAATAAAAATCTTTGATTAAAGTATAGATATCTTATTAATTTACATTTTTTTATCCAACTAAATATATAATATATTGAAATATTTTTATTTAATAATTTATTGTTAGCTGGCATTGTATCGACTGCCAGTAGGTGTACGGTGGCGGATTTCTTTGCGACTGAAATTAATGAATGTGCCGGTAAATCGAGACGTTGTATTGATCGCGATAAACGCATGCGCCTTTATTAATTCGATCATACGTCTGGAGGGGTACTGCAACGTTACGTGCCAATGGGCCCCGAGGTAGCTGCAAAGCTCGCGATAGTGCAAGTCCATAGTAGTATGTCAAGAGCAGTGTTGCACGTGTTTGTACAAACATTCGACGAAGGTGACAGTGATTGTCTGTGATCCCGAACTTCATTCCTCCACGGTATTTAATTGGAAAAATATATCAAAACTCAAATTATTATCTCGTAATAAACTCTAAGATATGTATCGACTTATTTTATTTTTTTATCCATTTATATTCTTTATAATAATTTTTTAAATAGATATCTATAAGTTTAGAATCTACCATGGAATACTTTTTATTTTGATCAATAAAATGTAATTTATAGAACGATAGCGTCGTCGTTTGTTTTGACAGCTGTGCTCATTGTATTATTTGCAAATTATCTATTTTTAGTGTTCTTCATTTAATATATTATTACTTTTAATTTTTTAATTAATATTATTTACTATATTATTTAATATATTATTTACTTTTAATTTAAAAATATTTATAAATTTTTGAACTGTAATTATCATAATTTCTTTATACTGAATATTCGATTACTTAAGGTTTTATTTTTAACATTTTTTCAAATAAGTAAATATATTTCAAATATATAGCTTCCGATCTTTGCATGATTTTATTGTATAGAAATGATTGACGTAATAATAAGATATTTTTTAAGTATGAATTTTAGATAGAAATTTAGCTTACGTAACTGTTATTTATTACCTTATATGAATGAGTTATTTTATATACATCTAATTTTTTTTATTGAATAACTAATATCTTTACAATAATTAAACAATTTTATTAACAATTCTTTTATAATTGATATAACAATTAATTCGATAACATTGACGATTCTTATTTTACGATATATTTGATATATATTTAATGTGCAAATCGCGTATACTTTAAATTGTTAACAGAGTAAACAACACATGAAAGTCTATTTAACAAGAACATTTCTGTCACATTGCTTTTAGTTTGTGTTTCCTAATTTTTTAATTTTTCCAGCATGCAATTAATTGCTGTAAGTTAAAACACTATAACAGTATATGGTGATGAGTCGAAATTGTGATTAAATTGTTTGTTATTATAATTAGTAAACAATTAATAAATATTTAAGCATTTGTAAATCTTTAATACCGATGTATGATAATTTTCTAGCAAGTTACTATCAATGTGATAGTAACTTGCTGAGTGTTAACGTAATAATTTTTTGAAAAGGGATAAATGCAAATTATATTTGTATAAATGTCCTCTTTTGTAACATACCATACAAATTTCACAACATCTATATACTTGTATAGTATAATACAAGCAAATTAACATGCAAAATTAACATGTAAAATGTTAGAAAATATTTTTTAAGAGCCTAAGAAAGTTAATGTGTGTACGAATTAATGGAATTTAAAATATTTCAAATCAATGCAAATTTTAACTTGCGTTTTGACGAATATAATCATGTAGCTAATTTGACATGCAAATTTACTATCGCAACGTATTAAGCGTTACTTGCGTTTTTCGTTTAATATTTTTGCGATATTAATTTTTTGCATATGGAATATATTAGATCACATTTTACTTTAATAATTTACTGTTTGCTGAGCTTCGACGAAATCGTCATCCGTTTGCAGTTATGTTTAGCTACATTGACCCGACGCATTCGTTTCGCTATACTGCCGAGTGACACATATCGTACTTTGTTGCACTTGTGTTTATCGTATTTTTGTTGTTGTATTTACAAATGCGCGAGGAACTTCTTTTTCCTTTTTCTGTTACTTTTTCTTTTATGATTTTAATATTTAAGAATGTCCGCATGTCCCGCATAGCGCAGAACTGCATAATATAGATAACGCTGCATTGCAGTTATGTTCCATTGTAAAATACTGTCATCCACATGCCGTTCGATATCGTTCACTCCCGCATGATCTCTTTGTTATAATAATTTTTCATTGATATTTGCTTGCCGCTGTTTATGTGCCGATCATTGTTCCTCGTAGTATTTTATCACACATATAACTTTATGTTACTGATAAAAATTTTATATCTCTTAGTATGTATTAATATGCATCTAGTCTCATTCTAATACTATCAAGAATATATTTCGATGTATCATTGCCAGTATATTATTCTTCGTGCATACGTCTTAATAAATGTAAGGATGTAAACTAATAAAATTATTTTCTAGTTCTAAATCTTTAAATTTTCCTTTATTTTCTATTGCTTATTTTATTATTTTATTTCTGGAGATATTTATTCTTAAAAAGAATAAATATGCTCTAAGAAAGAGAAAGAAAATATTTGATTTACAATTAATTTTAAATAAATTTTGAAATATCTTACATTATAGTTTTTTGAAATACATTTACTTCGCGTTAATGATTTTTTTATTAAAATGTTGAATTTTTCAAATATTGATTTATGATTTCCTTTCAAGATTAAGACGTTTATATAACTATATTTCGAATATTGAGATATGTTGATACAGAATTCCTAATGGATATTATATATGTTTTGGCCTCGCATCGCCCATTAATCGGAAATTCTCGCGGCGTCGAACTTGCTATAGACATGTGGACGCAATCAATGATCTATCTTTAGACACTATGAAAAGAGTTTTATTTGCGGTTTTGTATGATAAATATTGATGATTATTTATTGCGCATTCTTTACTACAACTATTTCTATATTAAATGTTATATTTTATAAATTTTCTTATTAATTGTTATATTAATAAAATATTAAATATTAATAATGTTTTAAAATTAACCAGAAAATTTTGTAAAAAATTTTAACAATAATGAGTAAATTAAAGATCTTTACATCTATTTATACTAAATTTTTTTATTTGCCAAAATTATTTAACTATATCAATTGTGTAGTTAAAATGTAAATTAAATTTTTATTAAGCGAAACTTGTATGTTTTGAGAGCTACTTTTTAAGAGCATTGTTACTTTGAATAATTATTATTTATTGTTATATGTATAATGTTGAAATTATGTAATTATATAGCGGTAAAATTCTTACAAACGCAAGTTAGAATATAACAAACTGGATTTTACCAAAAATTTGTATGCAGTGGTTAAGAATAGCCATAAAGGATATCCGTTGATTTTATATCATTTGCGGTTACCACAACGTAAGATTATATAAGCCTGTTCAGTCTAACATATTCAGTCAATAATAGATGAGTAACTATCCAGTAATCAATTTTCATGATTTAATTTTATTAATTTAAGTTGTTTTGTATCATTTCTTTATTTATCGACAAACATTGAAGAAAGATGTATTTTATGGCAACATCGAGAATATAAGTTATTCTGTTATAAGTTTAAAATAAAGTGTATATTTATATATTCACGATACTGTTTTCCGGAAGCTCTCGGAATAAATAAATCGTTTTAAAGATTCTTTGTCAGCAAAAAAGTAGAGCACGATATAAATGGAATGCCCTTTCCTATGATATGTCGCGCGTTTTTCTTTTTAGTATAAGTGTAAAGCATGAATGCAAAAGGTCGCATGTAATTAATGTAATGTGTAATTGGATGAATGAGCAAAACACATTTAGATTTATTGTGATTGTGTGTGTATGTTTGTGTGTGTGTGTGTGTGTGTGTGTGTGTGTGTGTATGCGTTGCTAATAAATTAATTGATAAACTTTTACTCTGGTAAAAATAAAAATTGGAGCATAAGTCAAATATACGGGAAGAGTAACAGAACCGTAAATGAAGCTTTTAGGAGGCGAAAATTGGAACAACGAAACATAAAAGAAACGTAAAAACCTCTTTTATGTTTCGTTTCAATTTTCGCTTTCTAGAAGTTTGGTTTATTCTTTCCTTATGTTAGATTTACGCTACAATTTTTATTTTCGCCAAGGTATATATTCTTATTCATTTATTATTTCTAAACACGCTCTAGTAGGCGATTTTCTATGGAAATTTACGAGTTAATAGAAGTTTATGAATTATATATAATTATATCAAAACGACATTTTAATTTTTTATAATAACAGAGTTGGCATAAAAATATTTGTAAAGCAATTAGTAATGTATTTATGTATGTAAAGAACAAGAAATTAATAACATAAAGTTTTTTTGTATGACAATACACAAGATTTCACATCATTAATCAGCTATTTGTGATAATAAATTGTACGCAATGCAAATTATTATTTATTCTTTTTGCATACTTAATTTGTTTTTGTAATGTCTTTGAATATTTTTTATTTTATTTTATTTTGAATAAAATAGTACAAGTTCAAACAATTTAAGTGACCTCGAAATTTTATCATTTCCAGTCGACATATCTTTTTTCAACTCCCTTTTTACTACAATTCACCGTTATCATTTTATGCATAGCGTACACGTATACATAGATGAGTAGGTGGTCGGTAGTGGCCTATATACATCGGAAATGAAACTTATGTTTCTTATCTGAGATTACTTTCAGCCTTATTCGCAAGGACTATATTGAGCCTACAACTAACCGACGAGATAGATCGCGAGTTTCGCAAATTACTTTGCTGAAACGTTGGAATGTGTAATAGAAATCCGGTGCAAACTATTTCAGCGAATTAGAAACCCTTTCATGATCGGCATTCAAACAAGGTCTTTCGAATAAGACCTAATTATTAAAATTTTTTCTTGTTATCGTTACGCTCGAAATTTATTGTTATTAATAAGAAATGAAAATATTGATATTATTTATATATTTTGAAAAAGTCTATAGTAGCATAACTTTTATTTTTATTATTTTATTTTTATTAATTTTTATTTTTAGTTTACGGAAGATCTTATTCATTTTAAAATTTAAAAATTTGATTACTTTTTATTTATTTATGATTTAAAAGTGCACAAATTACTTTGTAAATATTATATAAATTAGGAAAATTCATTAAAAAATATCTAACTTTATATATTAAACTAATTTTTATATTATATTTTTTAATTTTTCACTTTTATAAGAGCAGGAGTACTATTCATATTTTGCACATAAACTATCAAAAAAGCAAAAATTGAATCTTTAAAAGCTATACATTAATTTAGTAATCAATTCTATGATATTATCTTATTCTATTTGCGGCATTAAACACTCGTTGCTTTAATTAAATTTGCAAACATATGATAAATATTTGTGTTTTCAAATATGCACAGCATAGCAATCTTCATCTGTTGCATGTAATTATTTATATTGAATGCAACATTATAATTTTTAAACTTTTTTGCATTTATATCTTTTAAAATTTTAAGTATTATTATTATCAGGTATTAATTTATTCATTATAAAAAATTGTACAAATAATTTATTGTTTAGGTACAAGAGATGCCGACAGCGCTACTAAATTATGACTCTTGAAAATATAGGGTTAATTGCGATTTATGTATTATGTACTTATTCCAGGATATGGTGGATGTTACAACAGCTTTGCCATCCAATGGAAGGGCGTCATTAATTGGACGCACCAGAGGGCCTAGGGAACAGAATAGGATCTGCTCTTAGCAGTAGCTTAGAAGAAAGCGAACTGACTACAACCCCTTCTACGCCATCATCATCGCCGCAAGCACCTGCACTGCAGCCTATCAAGTCAGAAGAACAATTAGGACGGCGGAAACTCAGGCTTCCGAGGTAAATAAATGTTTTGTTATCCTAAATGCCTTATAACAATTAGGTCATATACGTTAAGAGCATAGAAACTGTAAACTGTAAACTTGACAGTGTTATTCAACAAGATAAGTTCAATCTTTTCAATTGTCTTTCAGTTGTCAATCTAAACTAACAATTCTTTATTTGTAAAGTTGAAATCAATTTCTATACTATTAAAATGTGCGTAAATAATTTTTACATATATACGCACTTATTTGTTCTAACCCATTATTATAAATATATTTTTTGTATCTTTTATAAATAATATTTAGAAAAATTATGTCTAAAATATAAAAAAGATTTAAAGTAATACTACATTTTAAATTACATTTTCTTCATATTTGTTATTATACAGCTTAAATTTCATCTGCTATATAATTTACCGAATTAATATTAGGTACTTGCTAGTCTATACACGACATACATACATAAAATCATATACTTTTTTTATAATGTAAATTTTAATTGTATGTGCAACTCTTAAGCTATTAACATGTCGTATGCATTATAGCACGGATTTACATTTGTTAGAAAAGGATAATATTGTAATGTTCTCTACTCATGAATATTTATACGATGCGACATGCAATATTTCATTCGTAGATTTGGCGCGGGATTATCCTACGAAGATTATGAGGCAATAGCGCGACACAAATTGGAACGACAGGGAAGCGCCAATCTTTCCAGAACACGAAAATATCCGCCTGGGATGACTTACGAAGAGATAGCATCCTCCAGATCAATCTCAAGTAAGAAACAGGAGAACCGTATTGAACAGGACGATATCAGTCCTGATCGCGACAGCCAGGAAAGTATAGAGCCCATTCAGGAGCAGGACATCAAAGCAACCGGGCCCGATCCTTACGAGAAATTGAATTACAAAGCAGGTGATTAGCTCTCACCTCCAATTATCCGCGACAGACGTCGACCAAGTCGAAGTCAATAACTCTCTTCGTCTTCGACGACGATTGCTATCTTTCTTTCGCTCGCGGTTGTTGTGATCATGCAGTTACCGAGACTCGACTGGAAATAATATACTGTGTTCTTCTTTCTTTCACGAAGCGAGGGCGCCGACCCGCTATCAGACGGTTGTTTTCCGTTTAGGTAAATGTAACAGTCAGTCAATGTGGACTGCCCCTGTGATTTCACCCGCGTGTCCCCTCAGTGTATTACACGTAGGGATGCTTCAGCTTAAAATATCAAGATTTTTACATACTTAAATACGTGAAATATCAATTGGTATATATTACTTAATACATATTCTGTTAAAAAATAATGGTATTGTACAGTATTTGTAAGTTTTTGATATATAAGAAAAATTACACTCTTAAAAATATGAATATAATTTTCATATTAGTAAGAATTAGGGTAATTGCCCCAATTACTGTGCCTATCCTTATTAGTGTGCTTTTGTATTTCGATAAGTCAAAAAGAAAACTAGCAACAAATAAATAAGAAAAAATATTTTTTTTTGTTAAGTTAAATTATTAATGCATACGATACTCCGAGGATAATATTTTATTTTTTTGAGTATTAAAGTATTTTAAATATTTTTCTAAAGATATGAGGAATTTATATGAATTCAGTAATACCGTACTGTAAGATTTTAAGCTTGTCCTTATTAATGTGCCTTGTATTGGAGTTGAGAACGTTGTGTTAAGAGTATACTATAAAATAAATATAATTGAAATAATGATTTATGAAATATTAACATAAACAATAAATTTATTACCTTTTAGTAACTATATTTAAAATGAGTTAAATGTGGATAGACACACAAATTGGGGACACATTAATAGGGCCATCGCCGCTTAGAGGACTCACTAATAGAGACAAAAATATATTTTCTATTTTTGTCAAAAAAACATTATAAAGTATTAACATTTTTTAGATTAAAGAAATATTATAAGAAAAAAAAGTTAAAAAACCGATATTGATTGCAAGCAGATAAAATTAAAGCTACAATATTTAATAATTAATTCAGTAATAAGCAAATTGGCTAACAGATATGTTAATAGGATCAGTTATTCTATATAATTTTCATCAAAATAAAAATTACATCCATATTTTTAAGAATAGAAAAGATCAACGCAAATAATACAGTTTTGTAATAATACATAAAATATTTTTTGAAAATTTCATAAAAAATTATTACATCTTCAATAACAATTTAAAATATTAACAACGTTATATTCAATTACAATTTAATATTTTTGTTCAAGTATTAATGTACACATATAACTCGTGTAAAATTAATTATCAACATTCAGATTATATATTATCTAAACAAAGTCTCGATATTTCAAAGCTATTATAATCTTATCACATGTCCGAATTTCTGACCCCTCTTCCTCAGCTAGATGTGATTAGCGAATATTAGTGCAATCGATATGTTCGCGTAACCTAGTGTTCGAATATTCATGGATCGATTGCAATGAAACCTTATATGGTTTGACCTGGAGATATCGATTTTCATAATTAAACGTTTCATGATACATCAAGATATTTAAATAGATTAGAAGATCTAATTTGTTTTAGTTTTTTTGTGTTATTTAAATTATGCAATGTATAAATAAAAAACAGAAATCTCTTTTCATCCAATTTCGTAGCATTTTTTGTAAAAAATATTATTTTAATTCGAATATAATTTTAGTGTATGTTATATACATACTTTCTAATTTTATTCCGAGTTTATTTATATATCATATGATTCTTTTTATGATAAATAATGAATATTGAGAATGTAAATAAATGCATCTTAAATTCATGCATCTTAATAATAATAAAAACAATATTTTAAAAATGAAAGATAAATTGATTTATACATATATAACGTATCCAAAAAGAAGCCTATGATTAACACAACCTAAATTATTGCATCTTTATATTTCTTTGAAATTAAACTACAGTACAATAATATATACAAAATTTAATTGTGTATTTAATTATGTAAATTATAAAGTTTAAATAAAAAATCATTGAATGAAAAGACATATTGTTTTATACGACATTTGTTATATACGTATTCTTTATGAAAGTAAACTTAGAATAAATTTTGTATTAGAGAAGGTGTGATTAAATATTAGCGTGTTTTAGCTTTGTTATTCATTTTTTTGGACATGTTATATATAAAATACAATTCGGCACTTGTATATTCGAACACGTCGCGTCGTCATACTTGTAGTTTCTTGCCAGACATTGCATCCCTTTGGTGAAGATGTTGTTACCTGTGTATATGTGTGCATATTTTCACACGAATTGCCTATTGCACCCCGATTGCATTCATAGTTCAAATGAAGAACCGTTCTACGTGGGCGGAAAATATTCCGTTATGTACAGTAACAATTGCGATAAATAGACACACTTATCGTCTACTGGATGCTTCAGTTATTTCCGCAACATTGAGCGATACATCGCAAAGATGTGTAGGTGTAGACAGTTAAGTAATATCGCGGATGTAAATATGTAACTTTCAGTATCATATATTATAACAATAATCAATCGCGAGTATGCCTCGCTGTATTTTGGATCATTTTATTTTGAAAAGTTTCTTAACATTAACAAGTCAAGTAATTGATAATTTTATGTCTCGTTGATGAGATATGAATAGTAGCTCTAGGCAAGTAATTCTAGCATAAAATATTTATTTGCATAAACTTCATATTACATTAGTGCATAAAATTAATAATTATTGATTATATTTATATTGATTTTAATATATATGAAAGAGGATTTTAATTCAAATATAATTTCAGTATACATATATCATAGAGACGCTTTTTAATTTTATTCCGGATTTATCTATCTATATGATTTTTTCTTCATGTTTTGCCGAATATTAATTTGAAACTGGCGGAATATAATTATGTAAGAGTGACGGATACTTTAGTTGTATAGTTTAGCCAACTTTTATCTCTTTGTTGTTTATTTTTGTCCAATAAATCATTTAGATTAGATTTTATTGCAAGTTTAGGTGTCGCCCGTGACGCACCATTGCTTGACACCATTAATTACAATTGTGTTAAAAAGATTACACTTAAACATATATTTGTCACAAGATAATTTTTTTATTTTAGACATGCCTTGCAGCAGTGATTCTACGAGTGATCAAGATGGATACGGACCCAGCACTAGTTTGGATTCTAACATGGATGGTCGCAGAATATGGCAAAGATCAGGTACCAATTATAATTCCTATATTTATTTCATATTTATTTGAGAAATTATTTTAACTATTTATAAATTAAGAATGTTTATAATAATACCATAAACAAACATAAATTACAACATTTGTAACAACTATTGCAATATAAACTTATTATTGTTTAGGTTCATCGGGATCTGTTCAGTCTTGGGCTTCGAGCTTATCAGCTGATAGTCAGTCGGAGGAAGCTGCCGCAGACTTCATGAAAGCTTTTGTACCTTTACTATTCGATGCGCCTAATACTATCGATCAAGAACAAAAGGCTAATTTTGGGCAGATGGTTTTGGTATTTATCAAATGTTATAAAACATTTTAATACCATCATTTTATAACTCTTTAATTAATAATATGTAAAATATTAATAATATTAATAATATATCAATAATATATCAAATATGTAAATATATTAATATATGTAAATATAATATGAAAAGTACTAAAATCAGTAGAAAGATACATGTATTTGTTTTGACACTTATAATTTTATGCAATAATAAATTTACAGACAGAATCGGGGCGAATATGGTTCTCCAGGGTAGTGAACGCGAGAAGAGCACGTGCGTGTGTCACAGAAGCTTCATTTTATTCTTTGGCGCAGCATTTCGCAGTCGCTCTGTTTGAATGCCATGAAGCGGATGATTTTGCCCCCGCTAAAAGTCTCATGAACATGTGCTTCACTTTCTATCATGAAGGTATTGAGAAACTAAGACTAAAATTTTGTAAAAATTGCTAATTTTTACAAAATAATATAATTTTTTAATCTTGCGATAATTTTAGAATATTATAGAAATATTTTAAAAGGAAGAATTATAATATCAAACATTAAAAATTAATGATGTTATAACACTATTATGTTATATTAAGTAAATATTTAAGATACGTAATCTTTAAACTGAATTATAATATAATATATTTCTAAAATATATACATACTATTAGATTCTATATTATTAGATAATTACTTTTTATTAATTTGTGAATCATCTCTATTATTTATTAATGTGCTGCGTCTTTGAGATTGTATATTTATTCTATCATGTGATTTTAGTGGAAGTTCCTGGATTAGAGCCTTACCGTGAATATTTGTACACACATTTACGCGTTCAACCAATATGGACGTCTATGAGATTTTGGACAGCTGCTTTCTTTGACGCAGTACAATGTGAGCGAGCTTCAAGACCGGTACCACCTCGACCGAAATCCTTAGATCAGGAAAGTATCGCCGCTGAAGATAGAAAATTTCAAGCAAACATTGTCTTTGGACAATTAGGGTAAATATTAATATTTAATCTATATTTAAATATTTTTAATATATTTTTATTTTAACGATATTTTCAGGACTTTTACTTGCAACATGCATGCTTTCGGCCTGTCACGAGCTTTATGCACAGAGTTTCTCCGGAAACAATGTATTATAGCGAATTTAACTAAAGGTGATTATTCATATTTATTTTATATATTCGAGTTTTTCTGACTAAAAAGATTTAAAATTTAAAATAAGGGCCGAGATTTTTAATAATGAAGAATTTATCTCATTTTGTTTTTTCAGAACAAGAAAAAATGCTACGAGATAACATAGATCGAATGTTCGATGAGACCGAGCCATGGCGGTAGTTTAGTTTGAATAAACAGATAAGATTGATTTTGAAAATTGCTTTAAAGAAACATTTTGCAATGTTTCTTCTTAGAAATATTTTCGACGAAATCGAATTGTCTTCGAACGCCGAGAAAGCGATGAAGTCAATTATGAAAACAATCTTGTAAATAACGTTGATGTATTATAAGTCGACATTTGTTGAATCTTTCGCGGTATTCGACGCTGGACACGTCAATTCCTAAGATGCAAACACTGCATAGATTCGCGCCTTAAATTGTGAAAAGTATATTGAATCTTACGTTTCTGAAAACTATTAAAAGATTACGAAAGATTTTTTCAAAATGAAACAAGGATTGAGGAATTGATCCTATAACACTAACAGAGATTAAGAAAAATTAAAATTTGAAAATTGGGATTTCAAATATTTTGAAATTTTTAACAAATTATTAATATTTACATAGTAATGATAAAGTTAAGAATAGAAATGACAATAAGGAACTGCATTTGAAAATGGAATTGCATTATTGACAGTTCAATTGAAGTGTCATTTGTTGAGTGTAATTTATTATATTAAGGAGAAATGAAAAGAAGAAATATTATTAATGATAGAAAGCACATAATTCAATATATACTTACACAAATAATTTTTAATACATCAAAATTTATTTTTAAACAAAATTTTACATAAATAAGATTTCGTTAAGTACAACCAGTATAACTCTTCTATCACATTTTGCGCGAAAGATCTTTTTTTACTATTTTGTGTTATTACAAAATATAATCAACAGTTTTAATGTATCAAGAGTTAATTTTAATACTTTAAGGTTAAAGTTTATAGTATTGCTTATAGTTATAAATTTACTGCTTTTAAGTCTAAAATTAATGACTAATTATAAAAACACGGGTCATAGATAGGCATTACTTTATATTACTTCTTTCCTAGCGAACGCATAGACAATTTCAAGCCTTACATAATTTTAAACTAGTTTAACAATTTCTGAAAATTATGCATTTTGTAAATGAAGTTTACAAACATGTAAAGAACATGTGTTTTATCTTTATTTAGGTAGAAGTATTTTTTTTTTCTAATAGCGAATGTCAGCATATGTAATCGACAATTTGCGCATTCCGACGCCTTGTTATCACACACATCATGCAATGTAAATAATTTTTAAGGAAAAGCTTGTACCTAAACACATATCATCAAATGCAAATTAATACGCTCTATTTTATTTTATACATATACACATATTATATCTACCTACGATGTCTGCAAAGAAATGATAAACTTAAAAAGTACTAAATAAAGATAAATAAATTTCATTACCGCATTTAAACATTTTTTAATAACATATTAATAATCCCTTTTATTTTATGTAGGAAGACCGACGCTAGTAGATTCATTTTTCAGTTTCGAATTTTTATAGACGAAATTAAGAGACATCACAAGAGAAATTAAGAGAAAAAATGAATTCTATATCAGTTGCTACATTTGACTGTCTAATAATAAGGGAAAACTGATATGAAAAAAATGCATTTTTCTAATGCATTCTATCTGATTCAATTAGCCCCGGGATCGGGGTAAGGTGACTAATGATATGGGGTAATTTGACTAACATCATTAAAATGAACGTTAATGTATATTTAATTTTTAATCAACAAAGCTTTCATAAAAATATATTTTAAACGTATACATGTTTATAAAACTTTTATAAAAATGCATTTTAAACACAAACATATTTATAAAATAAAAAATGTATAACTTTGTACCTCGTTATTAGATAAATAACAATTTATTTAATCCGAATCGTTATCCGAATTGCAGTTATAACAAATATACGATACATTATTATCTTTTATACATTTAGAATGTGCTTACATATTGCGTTTCATGCACTGTATCAACTCTTCTCCTGGAATACTTTTTAAGTAACTTTCTGTGCAAACGAGACACATTTCATCATCTGTCTCATTCAAGGATGAAGAATTTAATTTATTCAGAACCTTCCTTGTAACTTTTTCGATCAAAGAATATTTTTCTTTACTTAGATTTACTTTACTTTTTCCTTTTCTTATTGTCTTGCTTTTTCGTTCGATTTCCTTTCCTTTTTTATTGATTCTATTTTTTTTTTTAGATTATCGAGCTTCTGTTTCATGAGAGCATTCTTTTTCTGGCGAGTCTGTATATATTGCACTAGTACATTTACGAGTATTTTTTTTTTCTTGACGCGGTCCCGCTTTTGGATCTTACATCCTGAAGTGTGACTATTAAGCTAGACATCGAAGATGGGTTGACATTTTTCTTGACAGATGAAAGATCGACATTTTTTTTGACATATGGAAGATCAACATTTTCCTGGGCAGCTGAAAGATCGATATTTTTCTTGGTAGCTGAAAGATACATATTTTTCTCGGTAGCTGAAAGATCGATTATATCCTGGACAGAAAAAAGTTCATCGTCATATAGCCCTGTATTGTGATTAGTCTACTAGCCTCATCCGTTCATTTTTTAAAAATATTAACATTATACGATAACAAAGATAAATAAAAAAAATTTGTTGAACTTTATTAAATAAGAATTACATTTACTATTTAAATGGAAATCAAATATCTCAGACAATTATATACGATTGTAGAACAAAACTTTAAGAATAAAAATATTTATTTATTACATATTATTTAAATATTTATTTATTTACATGTACGATTTTTTTAAAATTGTAGCGTAATTTATAATGCATACGCGCCTAGAGATCTTATAGACTGAGCAACAAGCCGCTGCGTGTTCAGACACGTTTACGCGTGTCTCGCACAATTTGTTTATAAGGCAACCTCGATTTTTCTACTTATCCCTATAGTCTACTGTCCCCGGTCTCCATATTTATTTTTATATCTTCAAGTAAAAAATTTGGAAATTTAAAACAAAAGCGTAGAAAAATTAACTTTACAATTAAAAATACATTAATATGTATTGTAAGTGTACTATTACGTTAAAAATATTACAAAACATTAAAAAATATTACAAAACATTAAAAAATACATTATATAATCATTATTTTATAAAATAATAATTTTATTTGTTCTAAATTCTGTAAAGATTCTATCTAAAAAAAGAGTATTATATAGAATTATTATTAGAATAGAGAATAGAGAATAGAGAATAGAAAATAGAAAATAATCGTGATTGTCTTATGCTTTTGTAATAATTTAGAGAGAGAAATTATGCTATATATGCATGTCTGCAAAATTTATATTTATTTTTAGCATTTATTCTAAAATTATTTACATCATTTTAGTATATATATATATAATGCAAAAATTTCTTAATTTCTAAAATTTTTGCTAATTACTCCTTTTATTTATCTTTTTTAATTTCTTCGGTAATATTTGTAAATTTTATTTAACCTTTTTGAATATTTTTAGAATTTTATTCCTTTCTCCGAACCGTTCGAAGAGTATGCTTTAGAGAAAAGAAGTTTTTAATGATCTTTTAGGAATAGGGGATTTCTCATTATTATTAACAGCCTTTCTAGGACATATATAGGATTTATTTTGAAAATTTATATCTGGATCCCATCGATCTTGAGAAGATACTGGATCACTTCGATTCCATTCTAAAGATTTTCGAAGTTCTTCCCGGGCTTTTATATACTTTTCAGAAAGTGAAATAGGTTTATTGCCTTCTCTTGATAAAAATTTTTTATCAAAAGACTCATTAGATGCTTCGTTAAATATTTTAGATTTCTTCGAAAGCTTCTGCGAAATTTCATCCCAAATTATTTTGTGAGAAAAATTATTTGTGTCAACACTATTTTTGATAAGTTTTAATTGTTTCGATTTATCAATATTCTGAATTTCATTTCTAATACCTAAAATGTCCTTTGTTCTATTCGACTGTTCTATACAACTGAAATCATAATCAAATATGCTTCGCGGACTTTGAATTTTTTTCAAATTTGCTTCAATTAGATCATCCAGCTCGACTTTGTCATGTTTGACTATAAAAGGATTCTTGGATAACTCTTCATAAGTGTTAAATGTTTCAGATTTTATCGCAGTTACTTTCTTCTTAGGTTTACTCTTTGCTTGTGATTGAGTTTTGTTATGCAAATTTTGTATTGAAACTGGAGATGATTTTAAATTTCCTACAATATTTTTTGAAACGGATGTTTTAGAAGCAGTTTGTGTTTTACATTTTAATTTACTTTTTTGTGTTGATGTCATTGGTTTCGTGTTGATGTTGTTGATTTTATTTGAGCATTTTTCATTGTTTGATTTTGTTGTTTGATTTATTTGTTTATCAGGTATTTTGTTATGTTTAGAGACACTTCTAATTTCTTGCTTTATTGTCATTTTTGACGTAATAAGATCTTTTTTGACATTCTTCTCATTCATGTTGAATTTAGAACTAGTATTTTTTATGTCTTTCTTTTGCAGAAATGGCTTTTCATTTTTATTTGTATACGTGCGAAATCGAGTATCAGATATGGAAAGTGGGATTGTTACGAGAGCCATCACCGAAGAGTTTGAGGATTTCTTTGTCGTTGATGTTTTGTTCGAGGTAGATTTTGGTGCATCGCTGATAGGTTTCATTAATAATTTATTGGTTTTTGCATGATTCATAGTCAATGACGAAATTTGATGATTCTGAAAAATATATTTATTGCATATTTTTATCAAACACAGATTATATTTTTGTTAATTATTTTTAATTATTATTTCGTACCGTTTGATCTTTAATTGATGCCTGCATTTCATTATCTTTATACAATTGCTTCCAACCATAGATTATAATCTTTTCTTTTCCTTTTAAATTAATATTAGCTTTTTTATCTCTCGTATAAAGTATCTGCCAAACTAAATCAGTATTGAATACCTGGTAAAAATACAATTAATCTATTATAAATAATATAGAATTATTATAAATAATATATTTTCATTTCTTTTTTATGGCTTATTATTTATTTTATTTAATATTCCGCTTTATAAAAATAACTAAACAATGAATAGCAAATTTTTTATTTTATCTTTATATTGTTAAATGAAAAAGAATACAAAGAATAGAAAATGATATTATCATTAACCTTGTCAATTTTTTTTACCTCATAAGCAATATGTGATAATGAAGATAATTTAAGTATATCTGTGAACTTTAAATATTTTGATATTTTTCCGATTACTGAATTTGGTAAAGTTAAAAGATTTCTATTTCCTTCAGCAATATTTTTCACATGTTTTAATAAATATTTACCTGTAATATTAAAAATTGATAAGTTGTTTTCAGTTTTCCATAATAATTAATTATTATAGAAAAATAAAAGTATTAATTGGAATTTTATATATATTAGGTGTTGGAATTAATTCGTAGCGTTTTTAATGAAAGAATGTTATTTATTTCACATGAGCATTAAAAAATACATTAATGAAAGTACTTTCCATCACTTGTAAAACGCTACGAATTAATTCCAACACCTAATATTATACAATCTCGTGTGTGTGTGTGTGTGTGTGTGTGTGTGTGTGTGTGTAATCTCATAATACAAAAAATATAGAAATGTGAATAAATAAGTAAATAAAATAAGGAAGCAATTTTGAAATAAATTTGATAAAATTAAGAATTCATTTCGAAAAAATTTACCAAATCCGTGACGTATTTCGTTCTGCAAAGATTTTTCTTGATCAAATTTATTAAGCTTGACACGATATACGATCGGTGATTTATGAGGCCCGTGAGAAATTTTCCATAAATACAGAATTACCTAAGAAGTGTGAAAAGATTATTTGAGAAAGGATGACTTTAAATTCATTAGTACCTCGTCTTCAAAAATCTTCAGACCGTAATAATCTCTGCTGGGCGGAGGTGCAATTGAATACTTTATCAGATATTCGGTCCTGTTTCTCATACTCGACGGGGGGCCACGTCGGGGAAGTTTGACCTGAACTCTGCAATTCGTTCCTTGCAGAATGACGTGCATAATTGCATATCGAATCGAAATGTACAAGGTGTGATACGTTTTAGATTATTGGATTTAATTAGTTAAAAGTGTTTTTATACTGTCAATCTTCATAATCTTAAACAGATTATGAAAAAGATATTTCAATTAAAAATCAATCTGATTAAATAATACAATTTAATAATTATATAGATAGATAATATTACTAACATAATGATCATATTGTGATAATTATGGTAATTAATGTTTTAATTAATGTATTCCTTTTTAATTTAAAACTATACTGCAGTATACTGAGTGAGACATTTAAAGTAAAATACAGGAATATGTCAAAATCAAACTCGACATACAAAAGTGTTTTTAGACAAAAGTTATATAATTTAAAAGTGGATAAATAATAATAATGGTAAAATTAATTTAACAATTTTCAAGGTTTATAAAAATAATGTTTTAAGATCAACTTTTATGAAATTATATGGTTTTTTTACATAATGTAATTCTTCTAATTATTCTGTATATAAAAGTTTTTAGGTAGAGATATTGAAAAATCAATAGCTTACGAGATATTGTATACTTTATGTTATACTTGTTTTGGCACATTTTGACATAAAATATAAAACATCTCGTAATTATTAGCTTTTTTAGTACCTTAATACTTAAGTACTTTAATACTTTAGTACCTTAATATTTACCTTATTTTCATATATAGAATAATGAGAATCAATTAGTAAAGAAGACATATAGTTGCTTTTCAAATAGATTTGACAAATCCGATATTTTATTTTAGGTATTCCTATCCTTATCCCAAATATAAATTAAACAATATTATGTGTGAATAATTCAAATTTATTTAATTAAAAATTAAAATTTTTCGAATAGAACGATATAATAAATATATCTTATCTTTCAAAAACTAAGTCTTAAAGTGAAAAAATTTGAAAGCTAAGCATCGTAGTTTGAAATTTTTTTCATCTGGCAGAAAAGAATCCGACAAATTTGACTTTGTGATATTTTATTACAATATCTTTCATATGAAGAGATGAAGATAAATATAGAAATGTCGAAGTAAAAATGGAAAGTCGTGTGGCATTACGTATAGTAGTTGTAACGTAGCAATAACAATATACAAGATATGCTATATAGTAATATCACAATGCATGATTCACAATTTCATAAAAGTCTAGAGAATAGGATATAAATCTAGATAGATGCTTCTCATATTGAGTTGCCGCTGAGACAGAGTACCGCGATATACCGATCAAATAAAAATCTTTCTATTATAATTTTCTATCATTCTTTTTATCATACTTTTCATACTTTCACAAAAATGGACGTACTTATAAGGTACACCAATTCGCGTAATGATTGTCGTTATTATTATCGTGCAAATAGATTATATTGTATGTGTATACTACGTGTAATAATACAATAGTATACTTTCTCAACAAGAAAGAATATTATAATAATCTGTAATAATTTGTATTTCATGTTAAATATAATTTTATTTAAGAACTATAAGATTTAATTTAAGATTTATAAAATTTTTGATTAATTTAAAAATTGTATATGTAAAATTGGATAACCACATTTAGTACTAAATATGTATAAATTAAAATTTCTTCTAATAACAAAATCTTGTAAATAATTGATAAATAAGATAGAAGTATTGAAAATCAATTTTTTTAAATTTGTTGTTCGGAAGAGTTAAAGATATTCTGTTCAAAATATATGAAAGAAGATAATAGACATTTGATATTCAATTTTCTATTTAAATGATGCAATATTCCAAATACGAATAATGTTTAAGAGATACAATGATATTTAAACATATTGATTCTTTTTCTAATTATTAATTTAATTAATGAAAAAATTTATTATATTGTGAACAAATTTAATTGCATATTATAGATATAAAACGTATTTACAATATTTGAACAAAATATTTCACAAGGAATAAAGAATTTTAAAGTAATTACTCATTGATGTTTCATATTTGAAATAACAAGCAAATTAATCCCAGCAAATATAACTAATGTACTGTATAACATAAGTATATATAATATACATTTACATCTATGTTATGTAGTTACATTTATGCTGGGATAAGTCATTGAAAAGATGAAAAATATAATTTCCTTTGGAATATTCTCTGTTTCATTAGAAATAATAATCAATAGCATCAATTTAATATTTAATAATTTAAAATTGTTTGCGATAATGAATAACAACAACCTTACTTATCTATATTTCTCACAAATATTGATCACGCAATTGATATGACATTTCTAATTCCTTAGTCCTTATAGGCGATTGCTATGTCTCGACGGTACGAAAAGCCGCATGAATAAATTATTACGTGCTAGCATAATCGGAAAATCTTACGAGCGACGGAATAAATCTAAGCGGTATAAAAAGATTTCGGGATTTCGAGCCGTGGAACTTGCGAATCAGCCAGTATTGTATATAAAATCAGTTTCGGCGATCGTTTATCCGACCCGGAAAATTCCCGTGATTCGTGCAACGACATCGAAAAGCCGAGAAGGATCTCGTTCGAGAATATTTGCGCTTTTTTGAATAATTTATTTCGCAGATATCAAACTTTTTTCTACAATCGCGCTTTCGCGCGTGATTGTACCGGCAGACTCGTGAAACGTTCGTAGAGCGATTGCACCAGTGAATGTAGAAATATTGTTGCAACATGTGCATTACGTCACAAATTAGTTAACAATGTTCAATAGCATCTGCTCAGAGTAATTTATATTCTGACATTTTATATGTAAATATTTGTATATAGTATATTTCAAAATTTCTCCTTATACATTATATTTGATATTTTTAAGAAAAGCTGATGGAAGTTGACTATTATTCTAATAGAATAACTGATCAAAAGTTCTCATAATCCTAGTTTTATGTATGTATTATACATATATGTATATGTCTTGCAAAATAGCTCATCATGATAGCTGTGAGCATTTTCATGAATAATAAAACTTTCTATTTGGTGCATTCGCTCACTGACGAATTTTCGTGCACGAGAGATATCGATGCATCTACGTGTAACGGAAGTAAGTCCTTTAACATGCGTATGACATATTAAAAATATATAATTAAATTAAATAAATAATATATATATTTTGAACAGAAATTTTACAAGCTCTTATAGTAAAATTGATAACAAAAAAATTTATATGTAATTAGTAAATTATTGTAATTATGTGTCCGTGTCTACAGAAACTGAGATTAATAAAAATAATTTAGAACTATTTTTGTAATTTAAATTGATTGATTAAGTAAAATAATATAGTTAAAATCATTGAATCTGTGTGTATATATTCTATATATCGAAGTTTCGTTAAATTTTTTATTTCATTCGATATGTGTATTATACATTATATTAAAGTAGATTTTTTGTGCATCATGACACATTGAAATGTTTAAAACAGGATGACTTACTTCCTGATTACCACGCGTACGCGTTCGAACGTGTATACATAAATATGTGTGTATACATATATATAGATATACATAATAAATATCTATGTATATAACGTTTTGGAAGAACAGATTTGTATATTGCGATAGCGCAAAGAGAATTGGAACGCCTTACCGAGGTAACGCTTTACCGAGAATCTCTCACAATCAGATATGTTACTATAGCCATCAACGTTATATAAATTTTTGCATATTATAGATTAATGTTGTTCTCTCGTATCGTAATTAATTTCGTTACGTAATTACTTCGTTACTAAAAAATTATCAAATAATAATAATTTCGTAATAATATAACTTATTATTACATATTATAAATAATGATATATTACGCGTAAAAATAAATATTATACCTCTTATTTCTAACAAGGAAATGCACAGAAGTATTTCCGATTTTGATGAGCTTCTAATACGTTGTACAGATTAAAGTAAAATAAGGGAATTTGTGTAATTACATTCTCACAATCACATTTAGAAATATTATTTTCTTTCTAAACGAATATCGTTGAAACTATAAAAAATAGAAAATATTTTTTTTGAATAAAAGATTTTAAGAGTACTCTATAATAATAAATCAATGGCAACAATAATTTTTAATTTTTATTTACATGATAAATTTTATTTAATTCTATATAAACTTTATTTATGTATTTATTATACTTCACTACTTCAATATACTTCATTATTTTACTATACTTTACTACTTTTATATACTTTTACTACTTAATACTTAAAATACTTTAAAATACAAATTTAACCATGATAAAGACATTTTCTACAAAATATTATTTTCAGAGAATTAATGCCTCTATACATATTATCTGTATCATACATTCTTGTAGACGAGAAAATGATACAACTAACAGAAATATGAGTACTAGGCATCAACATAAAACTATATTGCAATACAAAGTATTGCAATATCCGATCTCACGCCCGTATGTGACGAAGCAATTTTGGCGTCAGGTCTTTCGAAGTCTACACTGTCACATTCTGAAGTTAGGGTCACAATCAAACTAATTTTATAAAGATACGTGTGGATAGATAAAAGATTGTCTACCCAGTGAAAAAATTATTTATCGAATTGACGTCGAATTAATCATTTCTGCCATTCTCGATTTTTGATTATAAAAGAATTTTATGAAATATTTTTTGAATATTTACTCATGCTTTTAGATTTAGAAATTAAACTTCATTCAAGAGATTCTATTTTAAAATTACAGTCATTAATACATTTTCAATTTGTCAAGATTTAGCAATTTATTTAAATATGCATGGTATAAAAGTGATTATTTAGATTTTAAATCAAAAGACTTTATATACCTATAAATTTTTGTTTAAACAAGATCGTTTAAAAACAACATGCAATATTTGCGGCGGCATTAAAAGATGGTATAAAAAATCTCTTTGTATATAACATTTTTTTCACATCTTTGTTAGGATTTTAAACCATAAAGGAATGAAATCAATTATATTTGCATTTTATTTGTAACTTTATTCATATTACTATTATTGTAACATAATCATATTATAACACAATTTTGTTATCACCCTTTTTTATTTGTGTGTGTGTGTGTGTATATATATGTATATATATATATAAATATATATATATAAATATATA